GTTTCCTTGGATCACTTAGGCAAATGCTGAGGCAGTAATATTCCACAGATAATCTTTCATTCTTTTCTGTCTTCATTTCGTCCGTCTCATCTTTCTCACCCGAACCACCACCCACCCATTCCCACGATTCCTGAAAGCAGGCTGAAGAGGCCCTTCCGCCCTACCTTCCGGCGTAGTCCGAAGGGACTGCCCGCCCACCAGCAATACTGGCTGGTGGGAACGAAACACCCAAGAGTTTTTTTTTCGAGTGGAGAGTTCGAGAAGTTAAAATGCGAAGATGAAGCGAAGAAGTGACAGAATGGTCATATAGTGATGAATTGATAATTAGTTAATAATAGAAGTATTAATTACACAGAAAATAGTTAGATAAGAGTAATAATAGTGCAATAGGAGCACTGATAGTTATTAAACATAAGTAAAATTACGACTCTCCTAACCAATGTGCAGCCTTGGGCTGAGTTTACCACCATATTCAAGTACTGATAAAAGATAAAAAGCCAACAGTTAAAGGATAAATAAAGCAATTTTTTAGGATAAAAGTTTATTTTGCTTTTGCATGGTAATTATATCAGCACGATGCAACTCACAAATCACTACAATCATAAACATTAGTTGTTGTGATTAATAGTTCATACGCAACTCATTGGAGATTCAAAATGTAGTATTTATAGCCATGTAACCAAAGCGTGCATTCATCAGCTGGCTTACTTGGAGTTGTGTGTGTGGTGTTTCCCTTTACGTACTTTCTGCAATTACAACCTTCTTCTTCATTTCGACGTTTACTTCGTTTTCGTTCTTGCAAAAGACTGATATTTCTAGTGACATTTTTAAGAGCACTTAATATAGAGTCAACTGAATGGTGATGTGTTGTTGATGCTTTCTTGTCATGAAAATTAATAATTGGTTGGCTGTTTGTGATAATTGGTGAAAGGTCATCTTTAAATTGATTTCTAATAGTAGGCGTTTGTACTTTAATGCTTTCCGCTTCTTGCTTTTTCTTGTTCTTCTTATATCTATTCTTGTTATCATCTAAAACTTTACTAGGCGCGCTCCAAATGTCGTAATCAGTTATATCTTCCAGGTCTTCATGGCTATCATGGCTTATCTTCTTCCAGAGTTTTGTAAACTCATCTTCATGGACGATTTCGTTCAGAAGGGATTGAAAAAGGTAGATATGCGTGTATTTCAGTTTTGATAATTTCGCAAAAACTGAAAAATAGGCACTACTATGATATACATCAAATAAGGGTATAATTATAGTTCAAATAAATTACCTTGTAAAGCTTTTCTGTATCTGGGTAGCTTCATGATCTTTATGTACATGTCAAAAATTCTTCTTAGATCGAGATGAAGTTCATCTTTTGATGCGGTATTTAACCAATGTATACAATAAAGTGCTCTTACGTAGCAATTTATTTCTAGTACTACATACCTTGCCAACCTATAATAATAAAAGATAATGGGTATATGTATACTCTTAATTATTACATTGTGATATCAATTTTTAGCAATTGTTGAACGTACCTATTGTCTACAGAATCGGAGCGTCTAACAACTGCATATTTTTCTAAAGCGGAGGTCGTTAAAAAACCAATATAATCCTGTTGGAAAAAGAAATTATATCTATTTTAATACATTGATATACTATTGCAGTGAATCAATTGAAATTAAATTCCATTTTTTCTTATTCTACAGTTGATGGTAGCATAGTTTCCTTTGCTCATCATCATCACAAGGTCGTCAGTCCTAAGACTGGTTAGACACGTAGCTCCATTTTTTCCTATCCTGAGCTAATCTTCGCATTTCCCTAATGCTAGAGCAACTCATATCCTTAACTGTTTGCGAACAATAATCCAATCTAGGTCTATCTGTACCCCTCCTAACATCCGTTCTGCCTCTAATACGTCTCTGACTAGACGTTCATGTCTGAGAAGATGTCCTACTAACCTAGCTCGCCTATTTCTTACTGACTTCCATAGAGTCCTCTGTTCTCTTACTCTTTCTAATACCCATTCATTTATAATTTTCTCTATCCGTGGTATCCTCATCATTCGCCTGTAACACCACATTTCGAACGCTTCTAACCTTTTCTTTTCCGTCGCGACTACTGTTCATATTTCGCACCCGTATAGCGCCGTACTCCAAACATACACCTCTAACAACCTTTTTCGAATTTCTAAATTAAATAATTATGATCTCCTGTGGGTCCTAGATGGTGGTACTTATAAGTCCGATAGTCAAAATTCCGAAAACCTGAAATCTCGATGGGACAAAATGCCGACATGTAAAAACATTGGAAGGTAAACACTATCGTTGGGTTAGATTAGCTTACGTTCAATTTTTCAACATTCAACCCCCATCTACAAACATTTGTTCAATCCTCACAACATTCTACCCACTCCTCTCCCTCCCCTTTCATCCAAACAATTATCGCATTTTATTGCCTCATCAGCAATTTAGATTATCAGAACGTTCGTTGTAGTTAAACGGTTTAGAGTAATGAATAGGAGATGTGGAAAATAATTAGAAATAAATTCGAAAACCTTTTGAACAAGACAGTAGGGGAACAGGAAGAAGGCGCGCTCTATTAGCCGAAATTTTTGCAACATATTTAATATGACTTTTATGCTTTGGAACGTGTGGTTGCATATGACGAGGCTTGGAGTTTTACGTATAGTCTCGAAACGATGCACCAAAGCTACATCAAATTCACCAAGGTCAAACAAAGCAAGAATGTTCAATTCGAAGATCAAAAGTATCTATGCTTATTTACTTTTATGATGCCAGGAAATCATCGGTAAGGAGTTTGTGTTGTGTTTTAAGGCCAATAGTAAACCAATACTTTTACTGAGAATTTTACGCACTCGAATGATGTATCATAAGAATGCGTTTTGTTACACAGTAATTTCAGTTAATGTGGTTTTGGTGAGTAAAAGTATCTGTCGTTCGTTAGAACCACTCATTCGCTCGTCTCCAGTGCTGTGTGACTTCTCAAGGAAACTTTTGTGAAGAAGACAATGTGCAATCGTAATTGTAATTAACGGCCAAGCTGTAACCTCGTGTCCTGCTAAATATTACAATAACTGTAGCCTCAACATAGCAATTATTCTATTGCTTTTTGGATCAGTATTATCGAATATTCGATGAGACCACATGTATGGTGTGAAGTGTACAGTAATAAACTGTACGTTACACGTAAATTAAAATGATAATTATGGTGTAACTGTTTCAAATAAAATTTGTCGTGGAAAAATGAAGTCGTGTGTTTAACTATTTATTTACAAATATATACAATGGAACCGAATAAGCTAGTCAACGTAACGAAGTGTGTTGCTAGGCGAATAATGCTAATCTGTTTATGTACAANTGATTTAAATCATTTGTACCTGTTAGTAGATCGTCTACATCGAAATCGCGCTCCAGAATCAATGCTGCTAGAGGAAATTGTTTTGCATAGTCTACAGCTAATTGTTTAAGACAGCGTGTTGCTTGATAAGAGGCTGATTTTGTCCCATATGTTATAGTATTAAGCATGAATGTTTTAATGGGTACATGAATGCTATTTCGCCAAAGTATTTTTTGAAATACGGCGTCTTGGGGAGGAACTAAAAATTGCCGAAACATCTTTTCGATGTCGGCTGCAATTAAGTATTCATACTCTCGAGAACGCAAAATTATTGAAATGAGATCATCCTGAATAACAGGACCTTGCATAAGTGCATCGTTCAGGGAGATATTTGTTGTTGTTTTCGCGGATGCGTCAAAAACTACGCGGATTTTTGTAGTGGTACTAGATTCTTTGAACACGGCATGGTGTGGCAGATAATAACCCTCTTGTTTATTATCAATATCGGTAATATTTGTCATATGATTTAATGTTTCGTACTCTTCTAAGAATTCGGAATATTTTTCTTTTAATTCTGGATTTGTTTCGAATTTTCGTTCAAGGGCATAAAAACGTTTTAATGCTGTTTTATAGGAATCGCCAATAGATTCCTTTTTATCGTTAAAGGGTAATCGTACTTGATACCGTCCGTTTGAATCGCGACCAAAGGTTTTAATAAAATGTGTTTCGCAAGCAGATTCTTCCTTTGATAAATGCTTTTTACCATGAATTTCTTCTATTTCCCAAAACCTTTGCAATTGATTTTCTAATACCGACGTTAAAAAACATGAACTTGATTTTACTGGTGGAGTACTTGGAACGTCCACTTTACCAGTTACGATCCAGCCTAATAAGGTTTTCTGTAATATAACAGAATTGTTACATAATTTAAATTGACCTATGCTTAATAATTCATAAAATAATTCGCTACCAATTAATGCATCAATTGGTGCTGATTTATTAAAATGTGGATCTGCTAAAGGTACATTTTTAGGAATTGATAATTGTGATCTTTCAATGGATTTTACAGGTAAAAGCCCAGCGATTGTGGGTAAGGCTACTAAAGTAAGTTCTTTTGAAAAGGTCGTTGTTCTCGATTTTATAATTGTTTTTACGGTGTATCGTGAATTTGTTGTCTGTTGTCCTAAACCAGAGAAGGATATATTTATCTTAGTTTTGTTTAGCTCTAATCGCTCTGCTAGATTTTCGGTTATAAAGTGAGTTTGCGAACCACTATCGAGAAGTACTCTACAAGGAATTTCGTTTTGTTTTTTGTCTAAGATTTTGATACAAGCAGTTCCTAGTAAAATTTCTGAATGACCAGTTGCTGCTAAGTTTACAGAATGTTGCGAGATTTGATTGGGTTCTGAAAGAGTTCGTGATATAGAGCTTTGAGTATTTAATGTTTGCATATTGCGACTTTGATTTTGCGGGTTTTCGTTAGCGTTTTGAGTGTATGATTTATTTGGATTAGCAAAATGTAATAATGTGTGATGCTTTCGATTGCATTTCTTACAAGTTTCATTAATAAGACATTTTTTAGTTGAGTGATTGTTTCGTAAACAATTTAAACAGAGTTTTGCATTTTTTGCATTTTCAAAGCGTTGTTTTTCGTTTAATTTTAAAAATGTAGGACAAGTGTATATTAAGTGATTTAGATTGCACATAGAACATGATGATTTAGATTGAGTATTTACGTATGACTGAGCATTATTCGATTTTCTTGTAAAATTGTTATCCATTTCATCCCCTCGCGCTTGTTTTGACAAAAATTTTATTAACTGATCAAACGTAGGCATCTCTTCATTTTCTAGGGTACGCTCCCAGGCACGCCGAGTACCGTTATCTAATTTTTTTACTATTATAAAAACAAGAAAAGTGTCCCAATGTTGAACTGGCTGTTTTAACGCCTTTAACGCGTTTACATGTACTTGAGTTCTCTCAATTAATGATCTTAAGTTAACAGGTGATTCTTTTGTAATTGTGGGTATTTCAAATAGTAAATTTAAGTGGGTTTGAATTATTTGCCTAGGCTTGTTGCACCTTTGTTTTAAAGATTCCCAAGCCACCTCATAATTTTCTTCGGAGGCGTTTAAATTTTCTGTTATAGACTTTAAAGGACCTTGAAGAGCGTTTTGTAGTAAATAAAATTTATGTACAGGAATCAGTTCATCGTTATCATGTACCAGATTTTTAAAGGAATCGTGAAAACTGTACCAATTAATTGGATTTCCGTCGAAAGGGCGGATTTCAATTTTTGGTAATAAGTTAGCGGTTTGTTTTATTGTAATTGGCGATGGCAAATGATTTGGCGTAGGAGAACGTGTATTGTTAGACATATGAGAAGATAATTGATTTAATTCCCGTAAACGTCTACTTATTAAGGTCGCACATTCGAAGTAGTGATCTTCGAATTGGCTTATGTATGATTCGTGGTCTAACTCTACATTTTCTTCGGAAGCCTTCAGTTCAATTTGAACTTGAATTTTAGAAAAGCTTTGATGTGCTTCTTCTAGTTTTAATTTTCTAACTTCTACTTCATCAATCGGAGGCGAAGCGTTGTTTTCGAAAGATGAAATTATTCGTGTAACGCTACGTTTTATATTACCGCGAGTACGAACTAGAGCCTTTAATTCTTCAGACTCCGACATTGTTTAAACGTATAGATTAAAATTTGTTATTGAATTACGTAATATATTGAAATTGAATCAAATGAAGAAAGAAAAGGTTAGGTAAATTGGAGATTTCTTTGAACTTACCGAAGATTTATAGGAATATGAATAAATGACCCAAAGGAACGGGCGCGTAGGTGACCTTTAACAGCACTCCAAAGAATTTTCCAAACGGGATGTCCTTAAGTGGTGAAAAGTTGCTCTGCTTGATAGGAACGGCGTCAGATCCAAACGGGAATCAGCCCAAGCGTTGAAACAACTAATGATTTAGGCACACCAGCGAATATTTTGAATCGAATGTTTTTTAACTTCACTTTATCCACTTTTTAATTTATGATTTTATAGTTGAATCACCACTACACGAACGGAGATCCGGCTCGAAGGACCATATGTGAAGTGTACAGTAATAAACTGTACGTTACACGTAAATTAAAATGATAATTATGGTGTAACTGTTTCAAATAAAATTTGTCGTGGAAAAATGAAGTCGTGTGTTTAACTATTTATTTACAAATATATACAATGGAACCGAATAAGCTAGTCAACGTAACGAAGTGTGTTGCTAGGCGAATAATGCTAATCTGTTTATGTACAACTTAACGACTAACTTAAATACATTTTGCACCCCCTGAAGAGAGGGAGGGTGAATAAACTGTCTCCAGTACAACTATGAACATTGTTCCTAAAGAGGACAGATATTTTGACCGGAAGGGTCCGGCAAAAGTACCTGGAGTGCAATAAATGTTTAAAAATAGACACAGCAAATGTCTCTAACAAATCTAACATCAAAGTAAAATATTTCTAGTAAATTCCAGTAATGTACTGAAATATATCATAAAAATAATTCTGAACAATTATGGTCAGAACATTTGGTTATACTTCGTTTGCTCTAATCCACCAAGTAACAAGTCTTGTGTTATTCAGGATCTTGCAGGAAATTCAAATGCAAGAAGTGCAATAGACTTAGATAGTTCTTTATTCTCTTTCCCCCCTTAACTTCTCCATCTCGTGTATTGCTCATAATCACCACTAACCGCCTATTTGTAGGATTCCTAATGGAGGCTGAACAGAACATTCCGATCTACCCATCTTTTGAAAGTATAGAACATTTGGGACAGCCCAGCCACAACATTAGTTGATCGTGACGAAATATAATAATGTTTTTAAGCTCTGATGAGAAATACACTGAACATAAGTACAATCATGCACTTTGCATATGATTATCGAAAATTTGAAATATTGAGCAGGGCTAAAGATATTCATACGGTAAATGTCCAAGAGAAACCAAACGAAAATGCGAAATTTAACTTAAATGTTTATTATAGGGACTAAGCACTTAATGAAAATAAGAAAAGGTGTTTTTTGGAATGTGGCAGTCCAATATTAAGTCTTACCTGAAATAAAGGCCTGTCGACTTCTTTCAGCTTTAAACCAAAACTTCTTATAAATCGTCTTAAACTGGCCCACGGCATGTATCGCATTTCATTTTGTAAATTATATAGAAACTTCATAACAATTCCGCAACTTAATTTTTCGTATTCATGCATAAAAAGTACTTCCTCCACTAGATGACTTCTATCAGGTGTTGAAAGTAACTACAATAAGAAGTCATTAAGAACATTAAACTTTTAACATTTCATTCTAGTAAATAATCCCGTTTAAAGGTCGAAATGTACTTAACAGTAAAGAAACTTATCAAATACCTACTCAGATACGTACTTACGATTAAGACTATTAAGAAATGATGGGCAACTATAATATGAAGGGTGTAGATACAATGTGACATGTCTATTTGATCATAACTTGAGAAAATTAAGAAAAAAAATTTTATGTGTTTCTTATTGCATATTACGATCATATTTAATTGTTACCTTAAAGCAAATAATGTAAATTGTGCGACTACATTGATTATCTGATAGATAGAAGTTTTGTAATTGAAATATTACTTTTGAAGGTGTCGTATACTGTAGTTTATAATTGGACTTCTCGTGTTTTGCACTCAATTGTCGAACATGTTATAATAAATGTTTATAAATTTAAACGTGGATTAATAAGCAAATTTTTTCAAATGGAATTAATATACACAATTCACTTAATGCAGTGTTAGACTGTTTTTCATTTACGTCACAGTGATTGGGAGTGAATATGTCAGAATCCAATTAGTAATAAATAATGAAAATGGTGATTTTTTAAGATTTCTTTTAAACTTTAACTTTATACCGTTTATGCAATTATCAATAATTAATTAATTATAATGACATAATGTAAGTTTTAATCATTTTTGTCTTTTTCCATTCTCAACTACTGCCGTAAAGGTATTGTTTATCTACTTTTATTGGGGATAAATATTAATATTGTAGCGAGCACGAGCGTGTTTGTGTGCGATAGGGCATACGTGTGTGTGAGTGGCTTATCGATTCGCCGACTAGCCGCGGGTGCCCTTCTTCATGTGCGCCGTATTTGTAAACGTGTGTGTCGTACCTGCGTTCCGGGAAAGCAATTAAACAGTTCAAAGAAAACGAGACTTCTCTGGACGGCTGGAGAACGTTCTCGAAAGGAGGCAAGGGAGTATAAAAAGGAAGAGACGATCGCCGAAGTAGAAATAAATTGACCGTTGCAAAAGTGAATCAAGAAATAAATTGACAGTGATAGAAGTGAAATAAATAGAACAGTGAATAGTAACAGTAGTTTCAATAATAATTAGTGTAAATAAATAGTTTTTGTCGTTGTGAGTTAATTTGTTAAACTCACGAACGTTACAATATGGTAGGTTGATAGGATTTTCTCATAACGCCAAACAATTATTAGCGAAAAGATAAGTTAAAAGGGAGTCCTTTATCCTAATTGGACTTCTCGTGTTTAGCACTCCATTCTCGGACTTATCGATATTAGGATAAATTGTTTTTTAATCGTAATATAAACTCTTACTACGTTAAAATAATTTTATTATAAGACGAGAATTACAGATATGAACTCACGACACAAAGTTGTTTTTGTGGCTCTATTTGCATTATCTGGCAGTTTTTTAGTATTTGTCAGTCCTATTAATCAGATATACAACGCAGAAATTAATACTGCAAAATTAATGAATTTACATAATTGTAATGAACCTACACGAATTATCATATGTTTTATAATTAGTCCAAAGAGACATGTAGTTTGCTGTATCTCAAATTTGAAAAGATGTGTGGCATTTTGCACTTGGCCACTACTTTGAAACATATATTCTGCGACATTACGAAATCGAATAGAAATAGACGTATCAAATTAAAATGTGAGCACATAGAAATGTACCCACTTGTATTGCATTGGTCTGCTTCCACTTTTGGTATTTCATAACTTAAGTAGGAGAACGGGCTTGAGTGTCGTATTTTGAACTTAGGAAACTAATGACAGGTAGATTTTACGCAGAGTCACATACCACCAAAATCCTACTTTGACAAAAAAAATGGAATGTCGCATTTTGCATCTATATCTGCTTCTAATATGAAAGGTATATTAGGAAAATAAAGTATCATAAACCCAAAGTTCCACATAAAACGTTGAAAACCTAATGCATCATCAGCTGAACGTTAAATTATCTTACTTAAATTTAGAAACTTATTATTTGGTTAAAATCCAACTTCAAAACCATTTCACATTTTGAAATTACAAACGAAAATAAACTTCAGAGTAAATAAAAGAAATTTTATTTTACGTTCTTGGTTAGAAATTTATTTTATTTCGAATTCATGATAAATCACTGACGAAGCCGATAAAGCTTGAGTTTATATAATATCCATTTATAGGCAGTATATCGCTATTTAATGGGCATTTACTGCTAATAAAGTTTTTCGTGCAATAGATACTTATTGCTATTACATCATATGCAAAAAGTAAACGTTTAATATCAAATAATGATGTACAAGGTCTGTTCAAAAAGTATCACGAATTTTGTGTTTTATCAAAAATTATTTATACCTATTTGGTCCCCTTCAATGTAATCCCCACCATATATTATACATTTGTGCCAACATATTTTTCCAATCCTCGGAGCATTTTAAAAAATCATTTTTTGTGATCTTGTTCAGCTCCTCCTTCGATGCCGTCTTTATCTCCTCGATCGTAGCGTCGCGTCGTCCTTTCATGGGCCTCTCCAGTTTCGGAAACAAGAAAAAGTCACAGGAGCCAGATGTGGGAAATACGGTGGCTGCGGCTTTGTTAGTGTGTTGGTTTTAGTCAAAAATTTGCGCACAAGCAACGATGTGTGATCAGGGGCGATATCATAGTGCAAAAACCAATTTTTGTTCTTCCACAAATTCGGGCGTATCTGGCGGATTGCTTAGTGCAAATTGCGCATAACATGCCGGTAATATTTCTTATTGACCGTTCTACCCTGTGGCAAGAGCTCATAGGGCACTACGCCCCTGCAATCAAAGAAAACTGTAAGCAAAACCTTCACATTCGACCTAACTTGGAGCGTTTTTGTCAGTCTTGGATAGTCCATTGGGATGATTAAACTTTGGCGACCTGTATAATGCCCAAATCACTAGTAAAAATCGAATGGCAGGAGCCAATCGATATGTTTAGGTCCTCAGGAACCTCTCTAAAATGGATTCAACGATTGGCCAATACTATTTTCTTCACTTCATCAATGTTTTCGTCTGTTATTGAAGTGCTAGGGCGTCCGGCATGCTCTTCGTCATTTACATCTTCTCGGCTTTCTGAGAACATTTTGTACCACCGATAAACTTTGCTTCGGACCAACCATATGCCACAGTCAACATTCGGAATGCGTTCGCGCACTTAGTTTTGTTTTCCACACAAAATTTGATACAGATTTTTTGATCCATTTTTTGGAATAGGCAAAAATCGAAGACGAGCCAAGACACGTCCAAGCAAAGCAGCTGTTAAAAATTAACTGAACATTCAAAATTGCCGAATTTGTCAGTATGAGTGAGAGACATGAGTAGCAACATAACGCCACAAAAAAAAATCGAAAATCGAATATACGTAACCCACGGAAATTCAAAATTCGCGATACTTTTTGAATAGACCTCGTATATATGGCATATGCTTTGCTAAACCTCCTGTAAAGTAAATTTCGTTGTCTTGAATAATTGGTGAAACAAACTTCTTCGATACCCACAAAGACTAACTCAAACTACCTCAATGAATATCTCCTTGTTGGAGAAAGGCAGGTAGAGTCTATTTCAATTTGTTAGAGTTGTGACCTTGAAGAAATCTGCGCGAAGATAGAAAGAATACACACTAAACGTGAGCAAGACAGAAATAGTTGGAACAAGATTGAACGAGCAGAGCTCTCGATGGGCGGTTTTAGGAGGTCGGCTAGAATTGTACAGTACTAGACGAAAATGTCTAGCAATTTCTTAAAACAAAAATGTATATAAATTAACAATAGAAAAGAAAGCAAAAGTTTTATAGGTGTGCAGAACGTTAAGTTAATTCACTTGTTATTATTTTTGGCTAAATATGCTTTTAAATAAAGGATATTCTTAAATTTTAACGAGGCAGTTTAAATAATTTTGCAAATGGTACGTTACACTTTTGTCTAGTTCTCGCTCGATGATTGGTGGGGAAATGAGCTCCGCAGACAAATATGATTGAATTTGGAAATATGCTACGATGAATCCTAATAAAGGAAAGGGGAACGAATATATATATCTATACGATAATAACCCCAAATGATTCAATTTTGGGATAGAACCGCTGTCTGAGTTTACTAGGTATTTCGATATCTTTGTAACCGTTTAGAATTAAACGATTACTTACGCTTTTAATTAAATTGAAACAAGTACAGTCTATTTCGTGGTCAGTGTTACAAGTATTAGAAACCTGCCTTTTATTGGTTTTTATGATCATAAAAACCAAAAAGTTTATAAGAAAAACAGAAGTAGCGGACACGTTATTAGCCGATATAGTCGTTATGAATGTAACAGTCGTGGAGCCTCATTTTTAATACGCTTTTATTAGCTTGTTATTTACACATTTAAATTATTTTTTCTTTATCTAATCTTAAATTAAAACTACAAATACATATATGTGTATGTATTTTCTTCATATTATGAATTATATTACATTTCTTTTGACAATGGATTCAGGTGGAAATGTTTAATTTAACTACTACTTAACTACATAATTGCTTCTTTGAATGAGATAAGCATGCAATTGTTAATGATTACTTCTTAATAGTTGTTGTAAATTAATACAAAAATTTTTTGCAATTTGTGTTTTTCCTCTTAAATTTGGATATATACGATATTTTCCCAATAAATAATTGAAATCTTCCTTTTATATGCATTCTAGGCATATTCATACTACAACATACACATTAAACCCCATTATTACAGTAATATGAGTTTATACCAAAAATAATATCTACTCCTTTCTATGCATTTATTTTCATATATGATCAGTATAACCAAAAAAAGCATTAGAAAAGTCTTTCTTTGGCAACTTTCCCTCACACTTTTTCTAGGCTTGGGACTAGCTATTTTCTGATAGAAAATAGGCGGTTTAAAAGTTGCAGTTTCTTTATATTAATTAATAAGCAACTTAGCTGCAAAAACATTTAAAAAAAGCGCCACAGCATTTTACAGTTGGGTTTAAATGCATTCACTCTCTACCTCTGGCTAGACCAAATCGTCCGTGTTAAGTGTAATGAATAATTAAAACTTTATTCATAATAATATGACTACTATTAAAACGTAATATGATTAGTACTAAAACAATGTGGGATTGGGATGACACAAACTCAAATCAAAGATACTGTATAAAAGGAAAAAGATTATTAAAAAGCCGAACATATTTGGAATGGAATAAATGAATAATTTCCAGACAGCGTTTTGCATACAAAAATTCAGATTGAAAAATACTCCACATCAAATTGATGTAGTGAGTGATGAAAATGATATTGTTATAACCACTACATGTTACTGTAAAGGCAGGACAATTGTAAGCATATTATTGCTATGCTACTTTATTGTAATGAGTAATAAATTATGAACTTCAAATTAATAAAAATGTATTTCTTTTGCTTCGTTTCATATAATATTAATTAAAAGCCTTGCACCTAATAAGAATTTACCTTACTTTCTACTGAAACATAATTGTTTTAGATTTATTGTTATTAATAAAGATGTACCAACTGTACGGATTGAAAGAAAAGTTTTGTATGTAAAGAGACAATTTTTGTCGAAATTTTAAATATTATTTTCTGTGTTTTAATCTCATCTATTTTTCTAATTTTCCAAAAATATTTGGGACATACGCAAAAGGTTCTAATGTCTAAATTTTTCGTGTAACTGTTCCTACGATTTTCTACAGAACAAAACAATTTTGCTTTGATTTCTGAACGAGGAGAAAATTTTACAAATTTTATTGTTTATAAATTTGAAAGTAAACATGGATTAATAAGTAAATTTTAACAAATAGAATTAATATACACATTCACTGAATGCAGTCGTTGACTGTTTTTCATTTTCGTCACAGGGATCGGGAGTGAATATATCAGAACCCAATTAGTAATAAATAATTAGTGATTTTTGTAAGTAATATTTCTTTAAAACTGTTTACCCTTTCTGCAATTATTGATTAATTATAATGGCATAATTTAAGTTTCAATCCTTTTTGTTTTTTTTCATTCTCAACTACTGCCCTAAAGGTATTGTTTTCTACTTTTATTGAAGAGGCTGAAAATAGTAAAATGGTAGGTAGATGGGATTTTCTCAAAACCCAAAAAATTATTCGCGAGAAGATATGTTACAAAGGAGTCCTTTTGGACTAATAAAATGATCGTAGATGCTCCTAACGCGTCCGCTATTACTGTTAATTATGTTTTGACCATAGAACTGTTGTACCACAATTATATTTTCCATAGAAAATGCCAGAAATGGCGCGGTAAACGCCATCTGTAGTAGGATGCTACATTTTAGGATTACGTATGCTTCAACAAGGTCCATTTAAATAAATGGATATCTACTTGCTGAAACGAATCTATGATGGTAACGTGCCTATCACGTTGAGCTTAGCTACGCCGGGATTCGTTTCAGCAAGTAGATATCCATATATTTAAATGGGCCTTGTTGGAGCATACGTAATCCTAAAATGTAGCATCGTACTACAGATGGCGTTTACCGCGCCATTTGTGGTATTTTCTAAAACGCGCTGTTAAGACAGCAGGTAAAAGTTGGTCTGTGTTCTGTCGGAGCTGTCTGCGACGCGCTGATGAGATCCAAAAAGATCGAAATCGCGATCCGCGTCTGGCAGTTTCGACAGAATACAGACCACTTCGAATTATTTTATTCGATTATGCTAACGTGCCTATCACGTTGAGGTTGGCTACGCCGGGATTCGTTTTCAGCAAGTAGATATCCACACAAGTGGACCTTGTTGGAGCATACGTAATCCTAAAATGTAGCATCGTACTACAGATGGCGTTTACCGCGCCATTCGTGGTATTTTCTAAAACGCGCTGTTAAGACACCAGGTAAAAGTTGGTCTATGTTCTGTCGGAGCTGTCTGCGACGCGCTGATGAGATCCAAAAAGATCGAAATTGCGATCCGCGTCTGGCAGTTTCGACAGAATACAGACCACTACCGAATTATTTTATTTATATTTTCCATGTTATTGTTTTTTCGGTATAAATATAAATTTAAATCCCGTTTTATCGTGCGGGTCAAAGGTTCCAGATATCTGCCAAACAAAAATGTTAAGACCACTGAAACTTGTATAACTTTTTTTCATACCGAAACTGTATACGTTTATGTTATTCATGTTACATATTTAATTTGAAGATGTAGAATTAGCTACTGGGAAAGAAAAACACATTTGATAGTTTGTCGTTGATAATTCGAATGACCCTCACGAAACGAGGGATGGTGACTTGCCAAAAATAATAATCACTTGTGTATGTCGCCATTAGTAAGGTAAATAAATAAGTAAAGACGAAATACTGTATCAGCCTGGAGTCGATCTCGGCATTCCCTGTCCGCTGAATACATATGAATTGTTCTGACTCTAACAATTTTATGTTTGTGACAGTTTTGGTATCAAAAATTAAGGTTAATCAATGTGTACATGCCCCAAATTTATCTTATTATAATGGCATATTAATTGAATTTCGGTCAAACGCAAAACTAGGTAGTGTTACATGAATGGTGCAATTAAAACATACTTTGTAGTTTTCTATTAGTTGCGACCATATCTCCTCAGGGTAGTTTACTCGATAGATGCCTGATTGATGGTGATTAAATTTGACCCATTTTGACTGCCTCATTGGAACTGTAACTTTAAAGAATACACTAGTAAGTATCGAATCATTTTGAATCTAGAAAAAAAATAGGTTAGCTTACTTTCATCACGATAATATGGAAACATTATTTTTTCAGGAGCCTTGCTAAAGGAGTATGTATAGGTAATTGGAATTGTCCATCTGTAACTGTTAGAAATTTTTATAGAAAGACGTAAATGTAACACACGAGCGTTTATTCGCAGAATGGATGTTTCTAATAAAATTGTTAGAATCAATAAATGATAGCAAAAGCGTCACCATTGGTTGGTTCTTCGAGCTAGAATTCTCGATGGGGGATATTTTAAGGATTTGAATTAATCTGCCTAAAATAATGACAGTGGGATATTATTCAATAAATTAAATTAATAAAATAAAGATATTTTTGAAATATAAACATGACAGTATGGTCCTCGGCATTCTCTTCTCTGAAGATGGTTGACTAGAAGCAATATTGAGCGGGCTCGTCTTGTACGCCGCTCTCTCGGTTTAAATCGCTCGCCAAAATTTCTTCCAATAGTTTTCTCTGATTATTTAATTCTAACAATTTGATTGAACCACTTCTGTTCTGCGAGTAGACGCTCTTTATAACACCGTATCATTTATTTTCATACCCATAAGAGGTCGGTGTGTCGTTTTGAAAAGCTGAAAGTTTTTCTTGCGTTAATATGTATACCCGATTGTATTTGTCAATTTTAACATTAACAACAGGGTATCTCTTTTGATATAAATATGTAGACAGCATCTCAGAAGTATCGTTGTCAAAATTTTTTAAAAAGTTTGTAGTTTGGGCACTTTTATAAAGACTTTCTTCCAGGTATTTTCGTATGATAAACCTAAATTTCCGTTCGCCTATCCATTGTTCCAACATTCTCAAAATAGCACCACCCTATAAAATAATGCTAAAACTAAAACATTCTTCGAAAAGATATTGGATTATTCAACTGTAGGTACTTATTTCGTTAAAAAATATTGATCAGTAAATAGGTTGAGTTTAAAATGTTTAAGGATTTTATCTAAAAACCAAATCAATTCCAAACTTGTCATTAATTTTTGTTAACAAATTTGTAAGAAACCATGAAACTGTAATTACTTTGGAATATTTTATGATGCTAAATTGAGATCGGATTTCACTAGGTGTTGAGACATCGTTTACAACGGGTTGTGATTCCATAGAATAATCGTAATCTAGAAGCCTGTGCAACCTTAATACTTGAAAATGCTTCAACTGCAAAATTTAATATTCTTGTAAGGTATCTATTAAATTATGCATTTATATTATTAAATTACTATATTCCAGTTTTTAAAAACAGCATCCACTGCTTTATATTCCATGTATTTTGCAAATCCTTCGTTTAACCATACATCATTCCACCATTTCATGGTAACTACAATAACGAAACACTAGGTATTATTTACATAAAAGATTGGAGAAGTTTATTTCTTATTGAGAGCCGAAGATTTTCAATATTTTTAGAGAATTGGGAGAAATTGAAAAATAGTAGGACAGAGCGGAGTCTGTTGAGCCGCGGGGTCTTGTGCGCCACCTGTAGTATCACGTACACGGTGCATAATATCTACGAGTGGGTGACATTAGACAAAGCGGGAGGATGAGGAACCCACGCCGTCATTGATTTAATCGCAGGCTGGCATTTGCTATGGTTGTGAATGCGTAATATTACAAATTTGGAACTAAAAGTAAAAAACATCGTTCCACTGAATTTTGGTTTAACAATTACAAATTTTATCATACGGCCATCAAGTATGTGTATTTTGATTTCGATATGATTACTGTTAATGGTTTATGTTTCAGGAATAAATTATTTTCAATTAATTTTTAGTTATTTAACATATTAAATGTAATTCGGAGAAGGGGTCATTTGAGCCAAAATACTCGGGGTCGAATGAGCCATATTCAAGNTTGAACAGGCCGTCAAGGAAATTATTCTATAATAAGGCTTCCCGTTTTTATTTTGTAAGATAATGGTAACAATGACGATAACAGTGTAATAAAAATTACCTTTAGTATTTGAACAACAATTGAGTTATATTAACAATGTATGTAGTTTTGTTTATACTGCCATAACCAATAACTGGCTCGAAATGTAATTAATGTAATAATTAAAGTTACCTAGTTGAATTTCTATTTACCAGCAAATAAAGTAGAAATATACGTTTAATTTTAATTAAAAAAAAAGGAACATGCTGCTGCAGCTACAAACTATTGTATATCCAGGCACACTCTATCTCATTACAATACCGACAGCATAAATCATTGGGGATGCTTGTAGCTCGTTTAATTACTGATTGGGATTGGCCAATTAATTCAACCAATCGCAGCTGTTGTTCCAAGATATCATCTTGTAAAGGATCTTTGCAAAGTTACTCAATGTTCGCAAATAAACAATTGTTAAACTTCCGCAATACAGTAAAGTAACAAAACAGGAAATCGCAGAAATATCATACATTATGATCTGACAGATAATGACTTACGGTGTAATTTAGAATTGTTCATTTCATAAATATCTTTCACTGATATAAATACACATTTCTTAATGTGTGTAAGAAAGATATTTATGGAACAACTGTATTGCGATATGATCTTGCGAAAAGTGCTAAACTTACTCCACAAACTTAAATAGTATTACCTACAATAAGTAATTACAATTAGACAGAATCTAAAATGCAAAAAGAACACTAAAAGTGAGGGATAGTTTTTCATATATTGATACGCAGAAATTGTTCATCAATTCTATGACCACAAAAAGGTAGATATACCGTTATCTAAATGACGATAAACTTGCGCCTTATAATTTTAAAAACCATCGCGAATTTTGTGTTTTTTCAACTATTTATTCATTCATGAATATTTATTTTGGCCCCTTCAAAGTAATCCCCACCAGATATTATACACTTGTGCCAACGTTTTCTCCAATTCTGGAAGCACTTCAAAAAATTATTTTTTGTAATCTTGTTCAGCTCCTCCTTCGATGCCGTCTTTATCTCCTGAATCGTAGCATAGCGTCGCCCTTCTATGGGCCTCTTCAATTTCGGGAACAAGAAAAAGTCAAAAATGCTAGATCTGGAAAGTACGGTGGCTGAGGCATTATTAGTGTGTTGGTTTTGATCAAAAATTCGCGCACAAGCAACGATGCATGAGTAGGGGCGTTATAATAGTGCAAAAGCCAATTTTTGTTCGCGCAAACTACGCATAACTTGCAGGTAATATTCCTTATTGACCGTTCTACCCTGTGGCAAGGACTTATAATGCACCACGCCCCTGCAAACGAAGAAAACTGTAAGCAAAACTTTCACATTCGACCTAAGTTGACACGCTTTTTTCGGTCTTGGCTCGTGCGGCAGCTTCTATTAGGATGATTGAGCTTTGGTTTCCACGTCATAACCATAAAGCTATTATTCGTTACCAGTTATGACCCTCTGGAGGAAATTTGCGTCGTCGTGGACAGAATCCAACAGCTCCTTAACAATGTTAATGAGATGCTGTTTTTGGTCGAAATTGAGCAATTTTGGTACGAATTTCGCGACGACCCGTGTCATTCCCAAATCATTGGTAAAAATCGAATGGCAGGAGTCAATCGATATGTTTAGGTCCTTAGCAACTTTTCTAACGGTGTTTCGACGATTGACCAATACTATTTTCTTCACTTCGTCAATGTCTTCGTCTGTTGTTGAAGTGCTCGTGCGTCCAGCACGCTTTTTGTAGTTCGGCCCTGTGAGAATATTTTGTACCACCGATAAACGTTGCTTCGGTTCAAGGTAGCATCACCATATGCCGCGGAATGCGTCCACGCACTTAATTTTGTTTTTCACACAAAATTTGATACAGATTCTTTGATTCATTTGTTTTGGAAAAGTCGCAGACGAACCAAAACACGTGCAAGCAAAGCAGCTGTCAAAAATTAACTGAACGAACTTGTCGGTATCAGTGAAAGGCATAAGTAGGTAGTAACATAACGCTACAATAAAAATGAAAATCGAATATACGTAACCCGGGGAAATTCAAAATTCGCAGATCACGAATTCTTGAATGGTAATATACATATACTACTCCCTTTCCACTTCCAAGTTTTTGATAATCAAATGTTACTTTGATAACTTCCTCATATTGTTTGAATTTGTAAAAATAGGTTAATATTATTTGAAACCTGCTGCAGTCCATTAATAAGTATACGTAGCTGTGTTATTAAACTACAACAATATTTTCAAAATAAGTACAATCAGTACCTAATACCTACGCATAGGTGAGTTTGTAAACATGAAGGCAAACATACTTTTAATGAATTGGGTACATTTGGACAGTAAAAGGGATTAAAAAATTATTAGAATGTTAATAAATAACTAAATTAAATAAAAAAGGTACTGTTGTAAATGGGTTTTAGTATTTACTAAGTGTTAAGACTTGTGTATATTTTTAGTAGGTTATAGTTATTTTAATCTTTTTTATTTCTATAATTTAATTTCATCAAATTCCTTTTCGTAGAACGTAAGTAATAGTGTATTTATATTTAAACTTTCTAGCAGTATATTTACCAAAAGTTGTATGTATCACTATCGTTCAGGTAATTGGGTTTTGCCAAAAGGTAGTTGCACATTTACCTGAATTAGAGTAATGACCCTGTTGTCATGGAGATTTGCACCCTCTTTGCTATAGTGTGCACTATTCTCACCCNTTCATTCTCTTCTGTCTTCATTTCGTCCGTCTCAACTTTCTCACCCGAACCGCCACCCACCCATTCCCACGATTCCTGAAAGCAGCCTACCGCCCTACCTTCCGGCGTAGTCTTGGTCTTGCTCATTTAATAGTAACACTTACGCTTTTTTTTTAATTCTAAGCACAAATTTTTGTATTTCATCATCATCATAAGGTCGTCAGTCCGAAGACTGGTTGAACACGCACCTTCATTCTTTCCTATCCTGAGCTAATCTTCACATTTCCCTAAAACTACAAAAACCCACATCCTTAACTATTTGCGAACAGTAATTTAATCTACCTCTACTCCTCTTAACTCCCGTTTCTGCATCTAATATGTCTCTGACTAGACCGTCATGCCTGTAAAGGTGTCTTACCAATCTGTCACGCCCCTGCCGGTTATTGAACCCGGGCCCGTAGTTTTACGCATCAATATTCTACCGCTAAGCTAAGACGAGTAAAACTCCAGACATGGGTTCGCTTCCCGGCGAAGCGTGAATTTTTTCTCATTTGTATTACACCAACAATCAGTAGAAGATACAACGTTTATTTCAGTTTAATGTTTAACATAGGTACATTTATCAAATTTCCCTGATATTTGTCAAATTTCCCTGTTATTCTCAAAAACTCCATCAAGTACATTCATAATTCCGCTTGCCATTTTTCTGTGCAATATTATTGATGTAAAAATACTCTGAATTTCGAATAATCGCTTACAAAATTACGATGTTTACTTAAGGCATTAAATAAAGTGTTTTTGCGTACTTTATATGTCTTGTAAAATATAACGTATGCACAGTCCAAATAGAGCACAATACTTATTAATAAAGTATGGGTGGCAACCCTAATTCTATTCCCACTACAATCTAATATAAACTCCTAATGCCTAGCTCTTAACTGTTCACATATTTTTTAATTTTATAATGTATTAAACTCCTCCGTTTCAGTTCTTTAGGGATGGTATTTTAAATACCCATTTTATAGTAGATAAATAATAGATACCATTGTGTAAGGTAATTTCAACGCCTTGAATGAAATATAAAACAATTGAATTGGAATTTTAAAAAATCTTTTCTAGTGTTTGCTTTCGTTGCATATGAGATGTCTGCGCAAAATTTCAGGTCTCTAGACCCAAGAGTTTGGGCTGTGTTTTGATTTCTCTTCGTCTGTCAAGGAATGGACTGGGGTAGAGGGAAGTCAGACGACTCTATTCTGGTTAAAAAATAAAGGATGTAGAATTTTTTTTATATCTACTTCATTCGTGTTTTCACCCAACCGTAATATTATGATCCATTGAAATAAAAGCATTCATCAGCTAAAATTATTGAGGGAAACATAACCGAATGTTTAACCGTACAATAGTTTTATTTTACTCCTAGGATCACAAGATTACGGTAGGAAGAGACAACATGAATGAAGTGAGTGTTGGCGTAACTATGTTGTTTCGTTTGTTTATATTAATGTGGTCCTAAGGGGGCCCATACACCTACAATAATATTGCACAATACTTTAATACTATGGATAATATTAAAAAATTGCGCAATGATTGAACAGAAGTTTGAGCAAGCTTAAATTTTATTGAGCAATATGTTTTAGAGATAGCTTTAAATAAAATGGAAGCGGTACTGACAGATCAGTTCTGTATGAAAATAAATAAAAATAAAACTAAAATACTGG